GCTGTTGTTGCTGTTGTTGCTGTTGTTGCTGTTGTTGCTGTTGTTGCTGTTGTTGCTGTTGTTGCTGTTGTTGCTGTTGTGGCTGTTGTTGCTGTTGTTGCTGTTGTTGCTGTTGTTGCTGTTGTTGCTGTTGTTGCTGTTGTTGCTGTTGTTGCTGTTGTTGCTGTTGTTGCTGTTTTTGCTGTTGTTGCTGTTGTTGCTGTTGTTGCTGTTGTTGCTGTTGTTGCTGTTGTTGCTGTTGTTGCTGTTGTTGCTGTTGTTGCTGTTGTTGCTGTTGTTGCTGTTGTTGCTGTTGTTGCTGTTGTTGTTGTTGTTGTTGTTGTTGTTGTTGTTGTTGTTGTTGTTGTTGTTGTTGTTGTTGTTGTTGTTGTTGTTGTTGTTGTTGTTGCTGTTGTTGTTGCTGTTGTTGTTGTTGTTGTTGTTGTTGTTGTTGTTGTTGTTGTTGTTGTTGTTGTTGTTATTGTTGTTGTTGTTGTTGTTGTTGTTGTTGTTGTTGTTGTTGTTGTTGTTGTTGTTGTTGTTGTTGTTGTTGTTGTTGTTGTTGTTGTTGTTGTTGTTGTTGTTGTTGTTGTTGTTGTTGTCGTTGTTGTCGTTGTTGTCGTTGTTGTCGTTGTTGTCGTTGTTGTCGTTGTTGTCGTTGTTGTCGTTGTTGTCGTTGATGTTGTTGGCGTTGTTGTTGTTGTTGTTGTTGTTGTTGTTGTTGTTGTTGTTGTTGTTGTTGTTGTTGTTGTTGTTGTTGTTGTTGTTGTTGTTGTTGTCAAATTTAAATACAGAACAGTACAGTTCATAATTACATGTACCAGTATGTTTAATTTGTCAATCTTATGCACTTTTCAATTGTAATCCTGACCCAAGTGGAAAGGTGAGGACATGTGGGGTGTTTTTCCTCTTTTAAAACTTAGTTATGCCTGACACAATGGGGGATTTTCCTGTTATGGATCCCCGACCCTGGTATGTGGGGCCATCGTATACAGCCTGCTCGCAGGCTAGGATTGTCTTGTTGAGTCTGTGCCTGGGACCTAAATATTAGAAGCCAGATTAGTGCTATTGTTTCTCTATGGTGACAAAATAGTTTACTACAAAAATGTTCTTTGTTCAATAAAATTTTTTATTTTTTTTAAATCTTACCCTCGTGGGTTGGGGGACTTCCGACTTGACAAGATTAGTCAGGTCAGCCTGCCTCAGGGGGTCAGGCAACAGTTAAGTATGGATATATTAAAATATATACCCCCACCATTTCCCGAGGTTTGGGGGATTTACAATTGACAAGTGCATTTCATGTTTTCATTCATTAATTGAAGGTTCATCTGAAATATTTTTATTTCTTTTCTTAATACCTTTGAACTCTTCTGTTTGGCTTTACACTTATTTATCACATCCTTTGCTAAACTGTATGATCTCACTTTGATATAGAGTAATAAAACTTAGTGTAAAATGTCTTTAGACACATCTTTAGATACTTCTAAAATCAGCAGTCCTAACCCACTCCTGGAAAAGACTGTCTACCTTAGGACCTTTTTCCAGATTATCAACAATGTCTGTTTTTGATATCTTTGTGATGAGTTCCTCAGACTCAGTTATGACAATTTTAAAGTTAATTCCTGCTATAGTAAAAAATTGTTATACAGTTGTCAGTTCGGTTTATTTCCAGAGCTCCCCTCTCTGTGCTGTTTCACAACCGTTGCTTTGTTTTCCAGCTTGGAGTACAGCCAGTACTTGCTGCTTGGAATTTTTCATCCAATCTTTAGACTTTCAAATATGTTAGTGTAGGGTACATAGAACATATCCATCGAGGTATTGCAATGCTGCTTTTTCCTTCTCATTCAACATATTTACAGTAGATTTATGTTCTGATAATATTAAAAACATAAACCTTGAAACTTTCCCTAACACTTTCTGCATAGCAAGTATTTTTCTCTAAACTCTTGCAACTTTGATTTACCAGGTTAAAATAATCATCAATGTTGAATATATTGTCATTGTTGTCGGCATTAATAATACTGTCAGAACTCAGTATTTCCTTTGTCTTTCATGCTTTGCATTTTTATGCCTCGTCAAACCAGCTTTACTTTTGCACTTTTTCCCACAAAAATTGCAACAAAATTCGCCATCCGTCATCTGAAAATACATAGAAAAAGCATCAAAATATAAATATATCCCATTTGAACCTGGCAAGGCCGCAAGAGTGCAGAAATATGTTGCACAAAATATTGACTAAGTATGTTCGACATTTCAGTCAAGACGATGTCAACTTACTTCTTCGATCGCTTCTTCGAAAGCGTGTTGTAGTTCTTCCTCCCTGTCTAAAGCATCAGAGTGCAACGGCTCTACAACCGCGTCGATCTCATTCTCGCATGGCTCTTTACATTCCGCCATCTTTATTTTTGTGCACGGTGTAGTACCACGTGACACCCTAAATTTGCTTGGCGCAACATATTGCGCGGCATCTTTTGAAGTTTAGGAAGTCTCCAGACCATCCCCTTGAGTGACTATGTTTGGATATACATGACTGAATGAAAATTCAGCCATGTATATCAAAAGAATTCATCATGTTGGGCCCGTTGGCGCAGAACTATAAACTATAGTTTTGAAATGAGATCGATGAATAAGAAGATGGCATTCCCCGCACGGTTGATGACCTGACTTTTGGGTAATTCTTAACGGCTACCCTCTGCCGCATTGAGGTTTTTCAACTGTTTGGGAAGCGACTGCATTGATTTCTCTCCAATAGAACAATTAAGTGGTCAAGAAAATATTTTGTGCAGTTAATCCTGAGCAGCGATCAAGAACCGAACCACGTTCGAATTCCGCATATATATATATATATATATATATATATATATATATATATATATATATATATATATATATATATATATATATATATATATATATATATATACAAATAGACTATTTTTGAAAATATTTGAGAAACTTTATTTTTGACTGAACTTTTCACGAACTTTCCTATATTATGGATATATGTAAAATGTGCGTACACCTACTGTACCAGCTATAGGAATACCGGGCGCTGTACTTGTATAGTCATTCCTTTTATAGTTGTGGGACTGTAATGTTTCTACATTTAGAAACATTACAGTCACACAACTGTAATGGATATGTAATGTTGCTATTTGCCCGGATAATATTCCATCACGAATTTTAGAAGAGTTGGTCTATCAACTTTCTGAGGCAGTTACATCAATATTTAATATATCTTTGTCCTCTTGACTAGTACCTGTTTTATGGAAAGATTCCAGTATCATACCCATTCCGAAAGCGAAACAAACTCACGTTGAGAGCGATACCGCCCAATCGCACTTACCCCTGTGTTATCGAAAGTACTCGAAGACTTTGTGGTTAATTGGATGGTTGAAGATATATATAGGCGGACAAATCGATAATCGTCAATATGGCAGCCTGAAGGGAACATCTACCACCCTTTGTCTTCTACATCTTATCCACAACTGGCTCTCTAAAATGGACAACCCAGGTCATTATCTTAGAGCTTGCTTTCTTGATTTTAGCAAAGCTTTCGATGGAATAGATCACAATATTGTTATAACAAAATTTATCGATTTGGGAGTGCGCCGTTCAATAATCCCTTGGATTTGTAACTTCCTTTCAAATCGCCGCCAGTGTGTTAAGCTGGGACAGTGAGTGTCTTGATGGCTTCCAACTAGTGCTGGAGTCCCACAGGGTACCAAATTGGGTCCAATCCTTTTTCTCATAAAGATTAATGGTTTGAAAATAGTATCCCCGCGTTCCAGTAATTGGAAGTACGTAGATGACGTGAGTACGTGATGATATCTGAAATTTTCCCAAAAAGAGAGGTATCACTACGCACGAATTGGACGCAACTGGTGATTGGACAAGTACGAATAATATGAAATTGAACCCCAAAAAGTGTAAGGAGATAATCGTCTCCTTTCGATGAGATATTGAGCAGCCTCCACCCACCTTACTTGTTGAAAATATTAGTCTTGACAGAAGAGAATCCCACAAAATATTAGGTTTAACGATCCAGAATAATCTGAAGTGGGATTTGCACATCAGTACGTGAAATAGTAACCAAAGCATCAAAGAGATTACACATCTTACGAGTTCTGCAGTGGTGTTTCATCGTTTCATTTGCTACGAGTATATTTTGCAATTATTAGATACCTACTCGAGTACTGCTGTCCGTTATGGCATTCATCATTGACCATCAACTTGTCAGATAAAATTGAACGGGACCAGAAGCGCACAATGCGAATAACCTATCCTACATTAAGCTTGCTATGACGCAGCTCTAGTCCAAGCCAAATGTTCGACATTACGCGCAAGACGTGATGCTTTGTGCACAAAAACTTTTCACAAAATGGGACAGCCTGATTCACGCCTTAGTCATTTAATACCACCGTCTCGGGCCAATGAACACAATTGCAATTTAAGTATAGGTAATTGCATGGTTTCGAGTGAAATTTAGATATAACATGCACTAGTTATTAATAATTTACATAGAAATGTTCGAGACAAGTGTGGTTTTAACTTATGCGTTTGTGGCGAACATTATTCCACTGGCAAAGTTTTCCTGGCTTTATTATATCACATTATACAATGCTACCAGCTTGAAAATTCCACTCAACTATGTAATTTTTGTTAGTCTTGTTTAAGGTAAATGCTCTTCCATTTAAAAATAAAGATAAAAGCCATATTTTCCACGCGAAGTCAACCTTTACTTTATGTAGCGCGGCGCCATGTTTGTTTTGTTTTGAAGCAATCTGTGACCGTTTACTTCTTTAAACTAAACTGCTTTAAACTGATGGGTTGATGTTATCATCACAATGTTTTTCCACCAATCAGATCAGTTTGTTACAGATTTTTGCACTGTTGTTACAGATTTTTGCACTGTTGTTACAGATTTTTGCACTGTTGTTACAGATTTTTGCACTGCTGTTTGGTATTAAATGCACTGAAACCAACCAATCATAGTCGAGTAATATTTCTATGTATATTATTAGGTACGGAAATAGACTAACACTGACACTTTTCCTTGTAAGACGGGGGCTTTAAGATAAGCTTGTCAAGTTTCTCGCAATGTGTCTTCGATCCCATAATTTGTAAATTTTGTAAATATAAAAGCACATTTATTTTTCTGTATTAATTCATGACCATAGATTCGTAAAACAATTGTTGTAACATAATGCATGTAATACAAGGTACATTTTAATACTGATAGTCTTAAGCAAATGTTGTAAATAACTTCGCAATTCTCTTTCGAAGCAACAATATTAAGTTTAATTGTATATTTATTTGTTAGTACTATAAAGTAACATACTAAATACGACGTCAAGTTTGTTTCACAGTTTAAATTCATCAAATCAAAGGCCGTTGAGGCCGACTCACGGACTTGGGATCAAATGAAAGTGACAGAAAGAATTAGAGCAGTTTGCAGTTGTTTTTTCAAACGAGCAGCGTTTGCCATTTGTCGTTGCTGCTTTTGCCAAATCAAAAGAACGAACGCGTGCTCCAGCCCGATTTCCGGTTCTGATAGGTCCGATTCGCAGGTAAACAGTGCGCGCAAAGCATAATTTCCCATTGTTTAACTGTCCCACACTCTAGTAACCACAAAGACTCACAAATGTTGCTTCGCAACATCTGTGAGTGAAAAGTGAAATGTCTGAACAATGAAACATTGATATAAAAACTAAAAATACGGAAAAGGAATCACACTATGATTTGAAAAGTTCATTTTAGAACGTAAACTGTTTCATTTCATGC